TGATATGTGGGGAAGACATGCAAACAGGTTCCAAGCTGGCTTTCCATTAGCACTATGCCTTAAAAAAAATTCATGTTGGTCATAAATGGGATCGAGTTGGCTCTAAAATAATTTCAGTAGGATTAAATCGAACAGTAGATGATAAATAGCACAGAAGGGTCAAACTAGCAAAGTGCCTTTTTTTATAAGTGTAGACTCCAACAACACAACATTACTCAAGGTCAGGCTGATTAAGATAGTCACACAAGTTTGCATCAGAACTCGAAGAAGAGGGGTTTACTTAACCCTTCATCCACCAACGCAGTGAAATTTAACGTCTGGCAGTGGAAGGATTATGTATGAAGGAAAACAAACCACATAAAAGATTCCAAGATACTGTGAGACAGAGGCCTGTTGGTCAAATACCATAAAAAACCATCAAACACCCCTTTTTCTTTAAATTCTAAAAAAATAAACTAGCATTAGTCAAAATATTTTCAGAGAAAATCAATATTGGATATTTCTGATGTTAAGTTTTGTGGTAAATCTAGAATAATTTTTTCAAAGTTTTATTAATCTAGAGTGGTATCAACTGACCATACCACTCTCATTAATTTCTTTCCACAATTAGTAAAACGGATATAAACAAATTAATAGAAATTTGACTAGCCTCTCCCCTTTTTTAACACATTAAACACAAATGCCTCTCAGTGTATTTGGAATCATAAACAAAAACTTTTTTTCTTGGCTGTTGTTTAGTGTCATGAAAATTAGTACTTACGTGTAACTGCTTGAGGTGGCAGGGTCGCTTTATAGGGAAAAGAAACAACAGAACAAGGCTTCAGCAACAATGACATTGATGTATCAATGAAATGATTCAATATGTGACAATAATGATAATATGGCGATGTAGGTCTAGTGTAGTGAAGTTAAAAAAGTAAATAATTTCTAAACAGATTAAATGTCATGCCCCACAAGTAAAAATCATGTTTAGCCTGTTGAAATTATTCCCTTTTTTATCAATAATGATAATGTTTATGTATGTTTTTGTTGACAATGTAGCAATTAAAGGCAAGATTCACTTTCTTAAAATGCCACTTGTTCATTTAGTCGTGTTTCAAGTCAAGAAGTCTGATTATGATTAACTCATCATAGGCAGACAATCTAATCCCCATCATCCCACCCACTGCCACCATAATGTTTTACTGTCTAATATATCTTATTATGATTAACCCACCATAGGTCGCCAATCTAATCCCAGATATCCCACCCGCCCCTACCATGTTTTACTGTCTCATGTATCTTATAATGACTAACCCACCATAGGCCGCCAATCCAATCCCTGCCATCCCACCCGCTGCCACCATTATGTTTAATATTCTAACTGATAAACCCCCCTAGAGGCAGCACATCTAATCCCTCCAATGTCCCACCTAGTGCCGCCATCATGGTATTACAGTATCCGCCATTGCAAAGGCTTTCTGAGAAGTCACAATAATCAAAAAGCCTGCTGCAGTGGATTGCAGCAAGTTAGGCAGAACCAACTTGACTTGAAACACAACTTCAATCATTAAATTCACTGATACATGTAACATAAATAAATTAAAATTAAACAAAATATTTTGGATAATACTATTAAATTTACATCAAAAGACGGACAAAAGAAAGTGATCAGTGTCTCTCAATCTAAAACAATGTGGTAAAACATGGATGGCATCAAATACTTATCAAAAAAAAAAAAAAAAAAAAAAAATTAATGGGTAGTTTCTTAGACTTGAGATCATTTTCAATAAAAAATCTAATGACTTTTTTTTTCCATTTGTTCGCATGTACCAGAGCAAGTTCACGGCCAGACCAATCTAGACCATAAATCAAAACCATCAGATGCATACAGACAGCCACATTGCTCAATACTGAGATTTAAACACAGAAGGCTAAATAGTGACATCATACTACATAATATTTTCAATCTACTTGGCTCAGCCCGTGAACTTGCTTTTAACTAGTATGAAATGGAGGGGTAGGGGTGACACATTCAAAGAGGGCATTGCAAAACACCAAGGGGTTCAAGAGCTCAACAGAGTCCGTCATCACCCTAATAACACCACGTGCGTGCCATAAACTCCCCGTTTTTCCTTTAATTATTATTATGTAATTCATAAACCTTGATATAGATATAGATATATACGTGTACTCTCTAAATAGCAACATAATAAGAGATATACAAAAATCTCATGCCTTTCATTATATATGTATTATCCTAATATGTATTACTGATCATTTTTATTACTATTTTTATCAATATCTTCACCAATACAACATTCTGCCAAAGTTGTACGCATATTTTCAGTAAGAAAAATCAATGCCTAACACGTTCAATTTCTCTCATTTCTCAGTCTTCCTATTAAAAAAACAAGTGAAAAAAAAATGTTCAAATCAATTTATCAAAAAATTGTCTCAGTCCCAGCTTGAAGAAGCCTTAATTTAATTGCAAATTCCCATTCAGATCTATAATCTCTCTTTCATCTCTGCTGCCCCCTCCTCCACCCCTACCCCCTTGGAGTAACAATATAATACAACAGAATTAAACAGGGACTGCAATCACTCTTCTGCTTCAAAATCTAAGAGAATGATATATTACTTGATAAACTGATAAGAACTCCTTCTCGTTCGCTGAACTTTCTTCAAGAACTCCCGTCCACAACTAACTCACCTATCGTGGTCCTTCTCAACGAGGTGGTAACGCGCGCGGAAGGCAACGAGATGTGCATAGTAGGCCGGAGCTGGGATGGACACGCTGCGCGTGCAGCGCACGTACGTGTGGCACAGTTGGTAAGTCAGGATCTGGAGGTCATCGGCCGTGAAACGATTGTCATCCCATAGCACGTGATAGTGGGAGGGCCGGCTGGTGCCCTGTGGGAAAACAAAATTATTAAATTTTATAGAACATTTTTTTTAAGACAAACATAGCTATCATCTTCCTTTGACTTTACGATTATACTTCAAAAATTTGACATGAGATGGGGTTAGCTTTTCTGTTTGGTAATAGATTTAAGACTATTGATTATCTATACTTATAAATGCATCATTCCTTATTTTAAAGCATATATTTAAAGACAGAACAATATTGGAATGGGGGGGGGGGGGGAGATAGTATTCAAGGTAAATATAGCATATTCAAGGTAAATATAGCATATGGAGTTGTATGTTGGGGGAACATTAAAGAGTTCAAATGATAAATGGCAAGGGGGATATAAAGACATACCTGGATGCCTGCATGACTGCATAGATAGAAGTCAAACTCCGTGGGATGAGTGATGCCGACATCGACTGTGGTTCCTGCAGGGATATTCCCACTTTTGCCGATCTGGAAAAAAAAATATTGAAATTATTAAAACATTAAGAAGTAAATCTCTGATCAACTCTCTAAGTAACTCTGATTTGTGAGAAGGATGGTTCTCTCCAGCAAAGTTTAGCCAAATGTCTGTGCCTCCCTCCCTTCATAGTTTCTTTCTCTCTCTCTCTCTCTCTCTCAAATCTCTCACTACCTCTCTCTCTCTCTCTCTCTCTTTCTGTTGCACCCTCTCTCCCCCTCCTCTCTCTAATTATCCCTCCACCCCTCTCTCCCACCTTCTCTCTCTTTCTCCTCCCCCTCCCTCCCTCTCTCTTTCTTTCCATTCTCTCTCCCATATCTCTCCAATCTCTCTCTCCCATTATCTCTCCAATCTCTCTCTCCCATATCTCTCCAATCTCTCTCTCCCATATCTCTCCAATCTCTCTCTCCCATTATCTCTCCAATCTCTCTCTCTCATTATCCCCCCCACACCCTCTCTCTCTCTCTCTCTCTCTCTCTCTCTCTCTCTCTCTCTCTCTCTCTCTCTCTCACATACACACACACACACACACTCTCTCTCTCTCTCACACACACACACATATAAACCCACCTGGTCCCTCTTGTCTGCACAGAACAGCCGCGTGTGGTGTCTCTTCTGGACGACGATGAAGGTAATTCCTGGCTGGTACCCCACCTCCAGGTTGATGCACGCTTCGCGGATAGCACGCAGTTCGTGGGCTAGCACCTGCAAGGAAAGCGCGAATACAACCTCCTCAATTATCAAACCTCATTCGGGAGATCCGAATAACTATTGGTCACAACAATATCATGTGATGATGTTTTTTATGTGACATCTCTTTCAATACGGCAAGTGGAATGTTATCACAAAAACACGACAACTATAACTCTTGCCTCAAACAGAGTAACGCGAAATATTTCATCTCAGTTTTAAGTCTTAGACCACTAAGATCGCCAGCTATCCCATTAAAGCAACAAGCCAATACAATATGTTTGGTTTAGAAGTTAAAACCAACTTCAGACTAATAAACTTCTGTCAAAATGGTCACTCACCTGGTTGAACTGTCCCTCGCTGACTCCGTCTCTGTACATGATAATCCTGGTGGGCTTGAAGCGCGTTGACTTGTAGAACTGGATCAGCAGCTCCTTCACCATCTGGGCCAGGTCTTGGATGATCTCCTGGCGATGCTGCTGGACACGAACTGTGGCGGAGTAGCGGCTAGGGTGGGCGTCCATGCTGCCAACCACCTGTGAAGAGTAAATGGGAAAGATAGGATAAAAGGTGCGGCTTTGCAGGTCCCCACTTTCGTAAAAAAGTCAGTTCTCAAGCTCAAGTCTTGCACCAATATAATAGTCAGCTACCAAATTTGAGCAGTCTAAGTTTAGTCCATATACTAAGTATAATGGGGCCTAGACCAGGCTACAAATGGTGTACAGAATATTTTTTTTTTCTCTGCTCTCATGTTAAAATAGAACTATTATAACATTGTACACTACTGAATTACGCACGTGCATGCCCGCGTGCATGTGTGTTTGTGTGTGTGTGTGCATGTGCATGTCCATGTGTGCATGCATTTAAACTTACTGCAGCTATGGAAGGTTTCAGCATGTCTCCTGCAGGGGGGTGGGTCACATCTGCTCCCAGGAATATCACAGGTTCCCGGAATATTCCAGGCCTAAGCAGAGAAATTGAACTGTGTATAGAATGCTATAAAACTAAAACATCTCCACTATTCCAGGCCTAAGATGTAGAAATTGAACTGTGTATAGAATGCTATAAAACTAAAACATCTCCAATATTCCAGGCCTAAGATAGAGAAAATGAACTGTGTATTGAATGCCTTAAAACTAAAACATCTCCCAAGCCTAAGAAATCTAAATTCAACTTTGTAAAGCAAGTTAGTGAATATCCTCAGTCATTCATTAGCAGTGAACATATAAAATGTTCTGTAATATAATATATTGAAGGTACCTGCATTTTACTTATATTTTTATGCATAAAAGTAAGCATTAAAAAAAATTCCAGGCTCAAAAAAATAAACACTATTAAAAACATGATGCCTACTGATAGGAGAAACGTTTTAAAGAAGAAATTGTATGTCAACGAAATAAATGCGCTTACCTAATGCTGGGCAGAAGAATGTTGTTGATGCCTCCCAGTTTGACGTTGATCTTCAGACACAGATTGGACAGGGTCTGGGGGGAAGTTTTGTTCACATTCTTGGCCTGAACACACTGGGTTGCCAACCCAAACAGGATGTCACCAACACGCTTCACCTCGGCTGAAATAAAGAAAGTAGATTTGAGGGTTATTTCTCAATAAAGCTGAACCCACTAGATAAGTCCACCTTTAGTTGACTAGAAAAAGCAGCAGAATCATAGTTGTTATAAACAGTATTCAATAACCCCCTCCCTCACCCAAACCTGAACCTACAAGAAAGCTTGAAATCAAATGGAACAGAAAAGTATATTTCAGGCAATTACTCTCTGGGGTAAAAACTTATCAACTTTCATAATGACAAGAAGTTGAAGGTAAGCATTCAGTAATTAGTATGATTTTTTTAATGCTCTACTCATTCCTGTGTATATATTACTTTTCTATGATTTATCATTTTCATTTACTCACTACACAAGAAGCAAATTTACTTTTCAGTACTTCTAAAATATATTCATGTGTATTCCTTACAAAATCTTTTAAAAGGGAAATTTATAATGTTGCTCAAAATATTTTGAATAATTACAGTGCATGATAATTATATGGAAGAATATCATTTCCCTTCCATACAGACTGGTGTAGTATGTATCCACTTACCGTAGACTGGTGTTTTCCCAGGCAGCACCACCACAATCAGCTGGAGCCCTGAATATGTATTCTTCAAGTAGCGGAACATTGGTTCCACTTGATCTGGGCCCGTGGCGTACTTGCAGAAGCAAGGCTGCCCCACAATGGGCATGCCTGCGTCGTTAGATATCCTCTGGAGCTGCTGGGTAAAATTTCTACGGAGAATGGCAAAGAAAACATCTTAATAATGGAATTTGATATTTGTTCAGTCCAATTTTTTTTTTTTTTTTTTGTAATTTCATTTATCATTGTGTCATTTACTTATTCATTCATCTATTTATTCATTTCTTTTTCTATTCATTCATTTACAAATTATCTCATTTTTCATCCAGTCATTAAGTCATATATTTTTTCCTTAATTTTTTCATTTTTTAATCTATCAGGTCGTATCTTTCTTTAATCATTTACTTAACTCTTTCACCATCCCTCACACACACACACACACACACACACACACACACACACACACACACACACACTCTCTCTCTCGCACACACACACACACTCTCTCTCTCTCTCACGCACACACACACTCACTCTCTCTCACGCACACACACACACACACACACACTCTCTCACGCAAACACACACACACACACACACACTCTCTCTCTCTCTCTCTCTCTCTCTCTCTCACACACAAACACACAGATTTTTTACCTTAGAGCATCTTCCCTAACAGTCCTCTGAGGGGCAAAGCAGGCAATGGCCCAGACCCTGATCTCAATGCCACTATAGAACTGCTTGCCTCTCATGTCCCAGACTCCCTGATTGGGGATCGCCTGAGCTTTGGTCTGGAAATAGTCAGACTGCAATAGAGGAAACCCATCACTATGGTCAAATATCAATGTGGACAAAAAAGAAATAAAGAAATAAATAAAAAGTCAACAAATTAATAATTAGCAAAACGATGCATGAAATGAGTACATGGCAAAGCGGAATATCTACAGCACACACACTGTGAATGTTACCTTGAATTTTTTTTTTTTTTTTTTTGGGGGGGGG